GGAAATATACGATTATCCAAAATGTCACGTGTATTAAGATGATTAATAATATGTAACTTTGTAATGATATTGCATTCTTTAACAACGAGTGCTAATGTGTGGACATATGTTTCATAAATAACCTTTATAAAGAGAGAGTAATGAGCCAAAATTCTATAGTGTTATTTTGAAGGTGTACGGGTTTAGTAGCTTTAATTTTTGTATTTATTTATTCTCATTAATTAATTATTCTTTAATATTGTACGAAAAATTATTTTCAAAGTTTACTTTTTTTATAACTAACTTTAGGTTGAATAAATTTCGTAGGCATAACATATTCTTCCTCATATGTAACTGTAGGTTAAGCAAATCAAGTTTAAAGTAAGTAGAATATATGTTTTTCTCATACCATATTTATATACAAGTCTATTTCCATTACCACCATTAATTGGAGTGAATGTTGTGAGGATTCTAGAATGAGTTGATTAATGATTGTTAAACTTTTGATGTTAAAAGGGCGAGTCTCCAGTTTGATATTAATTACAAGAGGTTTTGCTGGAGTTCCTTCTCTTTGTTAAGATTGGATAATATAGAAATTAGACTATTCAACAATCTTTATAAACACATCTTTTGTTTTCTTATTTACACAACTTGCAATTTTTTTCCCCTTCTTATTTAGCTTATCGATTCCAAATTTCTGATAAGGGGTATATGATGTATGTGCAGTTGCAGTTGATGTTGCCTGAGTTAGATTCCATGCATTTAGAATTCATGTTTTAGAACTGGTGACTTAGAAGTTCAATCGAGGTACTCAGATAATATACATAGAATGACGCGTAATTCAGAAGTGTCTTTGAATACTGTAATAGAGGGGTGCACAAACTGGGAACAATCATCTGCCAATTCTTCGCAGGTGTCTATACAAGAATGTGAAGCACCGTAAGTCTCTATGTTTGTCTGCCTTATGTTGTAGATTATTTGTTATTTATATGTATACTTTATTATACGCAGATACAATTCCAGTAAGCGTAGGAAGCTTGAACATCGTTCGCGTAGATCACAGACATACAGTGGGAGTACTACAAGTAATTATGTCTATTAGATTTCAATATAATAATTTACATCATTCTCAATATAGTTATATCCAGCTTTTACAAATTTCAAAGTATATTTAACTCTTTAAAATGGTATCTAAATCCTAATAGAACAAGTAGTTTAACATAAATGTTCAAAATAGAGCCCACGAAATAGTATATGGTTAAACCTTTTGTAGGAAGTGGTTTTGAATGGGAGCAAGTTTCTTAACAGTAGAGAAAGAGAAAGAGTAGAAGAATGGTAAAGAAGAAGATGGTGAATTCTCCAATGGCGACAATCATTTTTTCCCTGATTATTAAGTATTTTTGTGCATTACGTGTTTAATATCATCTAATACGTTTATTGTTTTAGGAGATTGTTATTAATATTAATTGTTATGAATTATCAAATAAAGTGGGGAGTTCTTCACATACATGTCATCAACGTAAAACCAAACGTAAATGTTGTTTTGAACAAACTTCAATTGCTAATATGCCAAGGTATTCAATGAACTACCGAAAATGTGAAAGTCTACACTATGAAGCTGTTTTTATTTATACATTATCATTTTTCGTGTAGGGTTGATGGAAAATGCTGTAAAAAAAACCCGTACAGAAGGTAGGTATTATAATCTTACATTGTGATTATTTAAACCAGTTTACTTAATCTTTCAGATGATACTTATTACATGCACATATTATTAATTTAGATATGTCCAGCTTGTACAAATTCCAAAGTATATTTACCTCTTTAATTTGGTATTAAAATCCTAATAGAACAAGTAGCCTAACATAAATGCTCAAAATAAAGCCCACAAAATATTATATGGTTAAACCTTTTGAAGGATGTGGTTTTGAATGGGAACAAGTTTCTTTAGAGTAGAGATACAAAAAAGAGTAGAAGAATGGTGAAGAAGAAGATGGCGAATTTTCCAATGGCAGAAACTCCTAAAACCTATTTTCCTACATTTCCAGATTATCGTTTTTTGCAACATTTTATCATTAGATCTGCTTAGTTTTTGACAATCGTTTTTTTTCCTGATTATTAAGTATCTTTGTGGATTACGTGTTTAATATCATATAATACGTTTATTCTTTCAGTATATTGTTATTAATATTACTTGTTATGAATTATTAGATAAAGTGGGGAGTTCTTCACATACATGTCATCAACGTAAAAGTAACCGAAAACGGTTTTTTGAACAAACTTCAACTGCTAATGTGCCCTAGGTATTCACTAAACTACTGAAAATGTGAAAGACTACAGTATGAATTTGTTTTTATTAATATATTATCATTTTTCGTGTAGGGTTGATGAAAAATGCTATAAAAAAACCCGTACAGAAGGTAGGTGTTATAATTTTAGACTGTGATTATTTAAACCAGTTTACTTAACGTTTCAACACAGATGATACTTATTATATGCAAATATTATTAATTTTTTTTTAATTGACAGTTATACCTCCTGCTACCATAGGGCAACTCCACCAAAAGGTCCTCTTGTCCTCGGGAATGTACACTATTGTTTGCATTGTAATGCAAAGAAATTCACGTATGAATCTCCACACTTTTGTTGTTGCGATGGAGAGGTTGTGATTGCAGCTAATGAATTTCCTGATGAGTTATGCCGCTTATTTATTTCACAAGAAGAAGATGCTAAAAATTTCCAACAGTATAGCCGAATGTATAACAACCTTTTTGCTTTTAGTTCTATACGCGGCAAAACTGAGTCAACAACACATAAAGGGATATATGTATTCAAAATGCATGGGCAGATATATCACTGTGTTCTAGATCTACTACCTGATGGTAATAGTCCTAAATACCTACAAATCTATTTTTATGATGGCCAACACGAAGTTCAAAATCGAGTTAAATGTTTTCCAGAAGTACGGGAAGATGCTTTCAACAGTTTATTGTCGATATGTATGTCAAGATAGAAAATACAAGGCTCGATTACCTAAGAAACAATCAAGATATAATAAGAGATGATCTTTATCAAGGTATTCTTGATAGTGTGACGAGTGGACAAACAGATGCTTCAAAAATTGGACATCTTGTTGTTTTGCCTCCATCGTTCCTCGGCTGTTCTAGAGATCTTAAACTCCGGTATCTAAATGCTATGGCATTAGTTCAAAGGTATGGCAAGCCAGATCTTTTTATTACCATGACATGCAATGCAAACTGGCCAGAAATAAAGACTAAACTACAACCTGGAGAGAAAGCACAAGATAGACCAGATATAGTGGCTCGGATATTCCGTGCTAAACTATTGGCGCTAAAAAAACAGATTATGAAGGAAAAAGTCTTCGGTGAAGTGGCAGCAATGATCTACGTTGTTGAGTTTCAAAAGAGAGGATTACCACATGCACATTTCTTAATAATATTGAAATTTAACTTCAAAATACGAGGACCAACAGAGTATGGCAAATTTGTTTCTGCTGAAATATCATCACTTCATAATCCTCTTCGACGTAAAGTTGTCTTGACTCATATGATGCATGGACCATGCGGTAAGCTGAATCCAAGATGCCCTTGCATGAAAATGGATGGGAGAAAATTAGTATGTAAATGGGTATCCGAAGGACTACATAGCAGAAACAACAAACAACAAGGATGAATATCCTGTATATAGAAGAAGACAGACAGGTGAAAAAGTGAAAATTAGACAAGCTGAGCTAGATAACCAATGGGTAGTACCGTACAATCCGTATTTACTACTCATGTTTGACTGTCATATAAATGTTGTGGTATGCTCAACTATCAAAGTAGTCAAATATCTGTACAAGTACGTTTACAAAGGGCATGATCGAATCTCATTCAAGATATCTGCCACAGATGATAATAAAGTTGATGAAATTGAACAATTTCAATCTAGCAGGTTGGTATTGATTATTGAATTTGCATTATTTGGTTCTGTTTTCTATAGTTTCAAATATATCACTAGAATTGAACGATTTCAAATTAGCTGGTGGGTATCACCGTGTGAAGGATTTTGGCGAATATTTGGGTTTGATTTGTATGAAATCTATCCTCCCGACATACCGTTGCCTGTACACCTACCAAACATGCAATCCATTGCTGTAAGACCACATGAAAAATCTGACACGGGTAGTGAGAGATCGAAAGCGTTCACGAACACCATTGACAGAATACTTCACAATGAATGCGACCGTTAGTGGTGGCACCAATATTTTATATGGCGAATTCCCAGAGCACTACAGATGGGATGCAGCTACAAAGGAGTGGGTTTAAAGGAAAACAACACTCATTGTTGTTGGAAGGATAGCATTTGTCCTACCTGCTGAAGGTGAACGTTATTTCCTCCGACTTTTACTGCTTAACATCAGAAATTCAAAAACTTTTTTAGACTTACGCACGGTTGATAATTATGTCTGTGCTACATTTCAAGAGGCTGCCAAACGACTTGGTCTTTTAGAAGATGACGATGCTGCATCTATATGCTTAGCCGAACCTGCAGAAGTACAGTTACCAGATGCTTTGAGACGACTTTTTGCAACAGTTCTGATTTTCTGTCAACCAAGTGATCTATATGCTTTATGGGATAAATTTTACACAACATTATCAGAAGATTTCAGGTATAAATTTAAGGGTTGTACCGAAAAAATCAAGCAGCTCACTGTTAGTTTGTTAGAACAACATCTTGAATCAATGGGAAAATCACTCAAAAGTTTTGGGCTAGAACATCTAAGCTATACTCTTGGTGCTGATTTTAGAAAAACAAGAGATATAGAAGATGCCCTAAATATAGCTATTCCTCATGAATTCATAACTACTAAAGAACGTTTGAATGCAGCTCAATTGTAAGCATTTGATTCCATTATGAAACACATACATGAAGGAAATGGAGGTGCTTTTTTCATTGATGGACCAGGTGGTACAGGGAAGACCTTTTTATACAATTGTTTATAAGCAGAAATTCGTATGATGAATAAAATTGTATTGCCAACTGCAACATCTGGAATAGCAGCATCAAATCTTCCTTCAGGGAGAACAGCTCATTCAAGATTTAAAATAACTGTTGATCATGAGAACTCTTTCACATGTGATGTGCCAAAACAAGGTAGTTTAGTACAGTTAATAAAAGAGACGACTTTGATTATTTGGGATGAACCTTCTATGGCAAATTTACAGGCCCTAGATTTGCTGCTACAGGATATATGTGAAAATACAACACTTTTTGGTGGTAAGCTCGTTATTCTTTGCGGAGATTTTAGACAGGTTATACCAGTTGTACCTCATAAGTCCTTAAGACAGGTTGTTGAAGCAAGCATAGTGACTTCATATATCTGGACATTTCTGAAAAGATTCAAACTAACAGAAAACCAGCGAGCTCGTGTAGATCCTGCATTCTGTTCATTTTTGTTATCTTTTGGCAATGGTGAATTACAAACAAATGAATGTGATTATATAAAACTTCCTGATGGAATGGTTCGACACTTGATCATGGAAAGAGATCCTATTTTGGAGATTATAAATGCAACATTTCCAGAAGTTGAGAAAGGAACAATAACGTCAGATATCTTTGCAAATAGGGCTATTTTAACTCCGATGAATGATGATGTGGATTTGGTGAATTCAGTTTTAATTGATCAGCTCCCAGGAAAAACAGTGACTTATAAAAGTTTTGATGTAATGCTCAATGACACATGCAACATTTATGCGATAGAGTTTATAAATAAACTTTGTCCAGGAGGAATGAGTCCCCATGAGCTCGTCCTGAAGAAGGATTGTCCAGTAATTTTGTTACGCAACATAATGCCTTCTGATGGACTCTGTAATGGTACAAGACTGATTTGTGAGACTTTTCTACCCAACATTATTGTCTGTGAAATTTCTGTTGGACAATACAAGGGTACGACTATTTTTGTGCATCGGGCAAATCTACGCCCTCCAGCAAATAACAGCTATCCCTTTGCTTTTGAAAGGAAACAATTTCCAATTAAATTATGTTTTGCCATGACAATTAATAAATCACAAGGGCAGACATTGAATCAAGTATCAATATATCTTCCTCGGCCGTGTTTTTCTCATGGTCAGTTGTATGTGGCTCTATCTCGGGCTAAAAAGGCTAAAGATGTTGTGGTATATACCACCAAACCACATGAAGGGTATCACTTGAATTCAGTTAGAAATGTAGTATCTTATGATATTTTGAAGTATTCGTAAATAATTTAGCATTAGATATTTAAGTTGTTGTTTAATGTTATCGGTACAATGTTATTTGTTGAAATATCTTATTCTTATATAAATAATGTGCAATCATAAACAGAAATTACATTGTACACAGAATTATTGCATATGTTTTTAATCATCACAACAAAGTGATATATATTTGCCAACTTCATCACCTTTGATTTTGAAAGCAGACCTTTTGGAATCCTTTATAATTTCTATTGTACCCATTAAATTGTATCATTTGAATTTTCTTAAAAAGGAAATGTATAATTAAAGTTGAAATGATTAAAGGTATTACAAATTTAAAACTACAGGTTTTCAAATGTAATGCTTAAAAGATATAGTAACATAGAGTTTTAATTTAATAAGTACTATGTACATCTATATTTATGTACTTTATAGTGATTATAAATACTAATTTGTTTCCAGTATTATTAAAAAACAATGAGCGAAATTCTAAAATGCTATAAAAATTGGCGATTGCACAATCTGGTGCCGAATTTGGAGATTCCACAATTTGGTGCCGAACAAGCAGTTTGATGAACAACATGGCCCTGGATGGTGGCTAATCGAATCCCGAAGAGGGATCTTGGCCACTTGGCCGAATGACAACCTTCGATAAAGATTGGAAGGGTCAATGGATTTAGGTGAGGGCTTCGTCTGAAGAGGAGCATCCGAATCATTTTGGAGGGCCGAGACATTCGAGAAGGCTTGACAAAAATATGTCTGCTATCGATCCTGATGAATTCTCGGCCAAAGATCTGCAGCTGCTGAAGCTCTTGGATAAAGTGGGAACATGAAGACGAGGCCGACAATTATACATTTCGGCCACTTGGCTACCCTGCTACCAATATATCTTCCAGTAGAAGATATTAGCTGTTGTCGGCCTCAGCCGAAAGTACCGAAATGGTAAGAATTTCGGCTCGGGCCGAAGGCTCGTATTTGTCCTTTTGTTATTTTTTTTACTCCTTTCTTTTTGGATTTTCAGAGCTGCATGAGACAAACTGCGGCTTGAACTATAGACAGCTGGGAATCAACGCCGAGAGAAAAGTGATGAGTAGAAATCCTCAGATAACTCCTCCTTCCGAGAGAGCCCCTTCGCTGCGCGTGTCTCAGCTTGACATAGTTAGTCAAACTGAATACTCCAAACGGTTCTAGACCCGTGCCAAATGTGTCCGAAGAAAAAGAGGAATTTGTCCATTTTTCGGGGGGGGGGGGGGGGAGGGGCGCGTAAACACCCTCTTCTTCCTGTTTAGTCTCCTTCGTTTTGGAAGTTTTTTCTATTTCTACATCCGATGGTTTGAGGACCATTTTAATAGTGTCTGGACAAACCACCATAACCAATGTTCATCTAAGGAGAGGGGAAATACAATCCTCGGGAAACTCACATGACCTCTCCCTGCCTCATCCGAATCATTTTGGAGGGTCGAGACATTCGAGAAGGCATTACAAAAATAGGTCTGCTGTCGGTCCTGATGAATTCTCGGCCGACAATAATACATTCCGGCCACTGGGCTACCCAGTTACCAACATATCTTCCAGGAGAAGATATTAGCTGCTATGGGCCTCAGCCGAAAGTACCGAAATGGTAAGAATTTTGACTCGGGCCGAAGGCTCGTATTTTTCCTTTTGTTATTTTTTTTCACTCCTTTCTTTTTGGATTTTCAGATCTGCATGAGACAAATTGCGGCTTGAACTATAGAAAACTGAGAATCAACGCCGAGAGAAAAATGACGAGTAGAAATCCTCAGATCACTCCTCCTTCTGAGAGAGCCCCTTCGCTGCGCGTGTCTCAGCTTGACATAGTCAGTCAAACTAAATACTCCAAGCAGAAGCCTTGGTATATGAACCATGACCCATTTTTCCTTTTGGGCCCTAAAGAGCAAGCTGTTTCTGCTGCTGCTGCTGCTGCTGCTGTGAGAGCCGGTGTTTTCGCGGCTAACTTTGAGGCCAAAAACGACTTGCTGAAAACTTCGGTAAGCACAAGTTTATCTCCTGCCTTGTTTTGCTTGAAATTTCTGTGTAAATCTTCGGCATTTAGATCTTTGTTTGAGTATGCATGTTATACTTAGCTTTTTAACTTAAAAGAATTTTGCTAAGTATATAATTTTGGATGCACGTTGTGCTCTATTTGTTCAGCTCGTGAGAGCTTTAAATAATTGTAGAACTTTGTAGCTTCTTATGATTTGCTTGATTTGCGTAAACCTATTAAGCATAAGGCTTCGGCTAAGTTATCTTTTACATATATATGATTTTTGTTTTTGCTTGGACCATGCTGATAACATACTTCTCCTCCCCCTTTTTCCTCTGCTGCAGGGTGACGACGTTGATCATTCTTTTTCGTACGAAGAAGACGAAGAAATGGCCAAAAAAACAAATGGGCGAGCTGTAGTCAACCCAGGCCAATTTCCTTTGGAGGAGTCTTCTCCATCGCTGAAAAGGTCTCGTCAAGGTGAGGCTCCAGCCAAAGTGGCTATGGAGAAGACTCCAGTTTTTTCCCCTAATAGGAACCAAGAAGAAGAGGTTCAGCAGAAGACTCCTTCTCCAATGTCTCGTCCTCTTCAACACTTGTCAGAACCTTTTGCCGAAGAAATTCAAAGACAGGCTAATGCCTTTATCACACATGTTGAGGACGACGATATGTTGATTCTGAAAGAGAGACCGGAAGGTTTCAAGGAGGCCGAAGAACGTGTCAAGGAGCTTATGGCTGATGAGATGGGGTTTGAGTCTGAAACGTGAATTCTAAAAGTTTTTGTCGAGTTCATAAGCGGTCCCTGATGCTGTACGGGACAGCTTGAAGGAAAAGCCGAAATTCGGCTGTTGAATTTTTTGGGGACTTATCTAGCCTTTCCGAGGTGGAAAGGGCCAAAATTTGGTCTGCCCGAGCTGCTGCTTGTGCGTCCGAACCCTTAGTTAGAGTGCCAGACCCCATTGACAAAAATTTCAAGCTTCTGACGCAGGTAATTTACTCAGAATGCTTTTGCTCGAATTTCTTCCAAGTATCTTCTTTCGGCTATTATTTATTTTAAGTTTAATTTTTAAGTGTAGGCCGTTCACAACCATGTGGTTACTGCTGGTTTGAACGAAGAACTGAAGAATAAGGCCGAGGCTGCTGAGCATCAGGCCCAAATGGCAGAGTTGAGGAAGAAGCATGCTGAGGACGTGGCTTCGGACAGTCACTCTCGGATGGAACAAATGACGGAGAGTTTCTGCACCTTTTGCCGAGAGATTGAGCAGTCCATCTTCCCTCATCTGGAGTAGGGTGAAGAGTTGATCCGCTCTTATGGAGTCGAGGATATTTTGAGTTTTAAGGTTCGGATCGAGAAAAGATTTCAGCAAGAGGCGGTCGCCCAAGAGCAACTGGCTAAGTAGCTGAATGAAAAAGCTATCCTAATCAAGCAAGAATCTGAGCAAAAATAGGCTCAGTTTGAAGCAGTGGTCAAACGCCTCAATGAATTGGTCTCGGCCAGAGACCTCTGTTTGACGGTTGTCCAAGATCAACTTCAAGCCGAGATGGATGCTTCTGCCAAAACTAAGGCTCATTTAGAGGGTGCGAGGGAGTTGCTAAAAACCCGGTTTTACACCCAAGAGCAATACAACAAAGGACATAAACACGAGCATCATGCATCAACATAAGATCACGATGTTTAAATGATCTACTAGTTAAAATTTTCCTTACCAAATGAATAAACCGTGGGAAGTCCAGAGCATTCTTGAAGACTATTTCTATACAAAATGGTACTATCATTAATACATTCCCAATCAGCTACTTCGTTCTTGGAAACCTCCTTGTCATTCAAGGGCCTTAACCTCACCAACACCAAGATCTTCTCCTTTCGGCCCGCCCCTCCGATCATCTTGTCCGAATTCTTCGACCCCTCGCCCACAATAGCCCCCATTCAACACCCAAAGCTGAATAATGTATCCATAATACAACAATCAGCAACACTAGTAACAACACAACTTATGCAATAAACACCCTAAAATAGGAAATAATTAGAAAATTTACAACAAAATTAACAACTCACTTTAGTAACCTTAGATTCTCCAAAAATCAACAAAGTCAGTTAATTGCTCACAAGAAAAGCATTGTCATCATTAAAATTTGGTGTATCAACAGCTCATAAAAGCAAATGAAGTACTTTTTTTTTTACCTTATTCTCTTCAAATAACACCCAAAAAACAAAAGAAAAGAGAGAGAGAGAAAAGGAAACTGATTATAGCAATTTTCTCACTTTTCTTAATCGGGTTTAATTAAATTAACTGGTAAAAAAACAACAAAATTAAACAATTAAGATTTATGAGACAGAAAAACACGGGGGTTTAGAGGTTATAATCATGGGATTAGGTTGATAATCATAAATCAAAAACTAATCAAGCTTTGCTTGATTTTTCCTTTTAAGTTTCCAAAAAAGGAAAAGAATAAATAAAAACCCAGCAATCTTAATAATAAAGCTTCTCCCTTTACTCTAAAGCAACCCACCCAAGCTTACACAGAATATGAAATCAAGATCGAAACTTTATGCATTAAAATAGCAATTAAGAAGTAATTAATTTCAAAATTAAAACAACAAGGGATCGGAATTTCAAAATCAGGCTGAAATCTTCCTTAAACATTGACAAACACTTCATTAATTTTTAGCTAAAAGAGAGAAGAGGGAAAGAATACCGTGCATGTGGCAGTGAGGAGAGGAGCGGTAGTCTTAAATCTCTTCTTAGCTATAATCTGAAATCCTAGAAATCGAAGCGCCGCAATGGATACCACGACCACCGTCACCACCACCATCACCTCCATAAACCCTAGAATACGAAGTCGATGATGATTCAAATCCTTTTTTACAAATTAATACCTAAAATCAAAAATATGAAAATAAAACAAAAGCCAAGAGGCAAACCCTAGATTGTAAAAGCGATAGTCGGTGATGATTTAAAAGAAAAAAAACAATTTACCCGAGAAGCTGATTCAATGGAGAACAAAAGGCTCAAAAGTC